AATAAAAGAAGGAAGTATAGAACTGGAAAAACAAGTCTCCTAAGCTCTCTTCTCCTTTGCAAATAATGCCTGTACCCTCTGTACCTCAATAATTAATAAGCACTCTGTTGTCTAAACAAGATCAAGTGTCAAGGAAATAATGAGATATATGAAATTTCATGTAATCTTGCTTTTATCCTAGAAATTAGTGAATTCAAACTAAGAATAAAAATATGATAAATAAAAGTAGAAATAGGCAAACAGCAACAGGAAGATGGTTTAATCTAATAACTAAAAAATTCTATCATTGTAGTTTAAGAAGCAAGTTCGGGATAATACCCCACCTCCTGCCCCCAACCCTTTCACCTTCTCTAAAAATGATCTGGGGCCGAATGACCATATTCCTCTCACCTCAATATTTCCACACTCCAGTGCCAAACTAAAGCGAGTTTTCTCATCCTTGACGAAATGCAGTGCCACTTCAGGATAGCCCTTCTTCTGAAGATAGGCAATGATAGACTGGCCAACTAGTTTGGCATTCCTCACCATATGTAGTACCTAGACATTTGGGGTTGGGTAGAGTAGGAAGTAGAGATTACTTACAACAAAAAAGGAATGTTTCCCCTCTTGATACCTCTAGTATGCTTCCTCACTCCATACCTCATCATATTTTCTGTTGATCAGGGCCAGTTTGAATTTGAATTCAGTGGGATCAATGGTGAGTACCCGAGGACGACACTCTCTGTCTAGGCAATATACATTGTTGCCCTTTACTCGTGTGACATAGATGGGTAAATCCAGAGTTCGAATGATTCCGTGGTCCCTAAGAATAGGGAGTAGAGATTGCAACTATGAGTAAGTGAGGGAAAAATCTAGCCTGTGAAAAAATGAACAAGCCAAGGTCACATCCTTTTGGGGGTGGGGGACACTGGGGATTGAATCCAGGGGAGCTTAACCTCAGAGACAAATCCCAGCTCTTTGTATATATTTATGCTTATATAATGTCTGTACACTACAAGTTCACCCTTAGGGGGCTGGTGAAGCAACTCAGTTGGCAGAGTACTTGCCTAGCATGTGCAAGGCCCTGAGTTCAATCCCTAGTACCACCTCAAAATAAACAAACAACAACAAAACAATAAAAGTGCACCCTTAGAAAGCTTTATCAATGTAAAAGCATTTGAAAGAAGAAACAAAACTGTCACTGCCCACAGATGCTGAGTATTCAAGAAAATAAAAAATAAATTAGAAATTAACAGGAGTGTAACAAGGTCTTCAAAATAAAATTGATATAAATCTAACCAAAGAAACACAAAATATCTATAGATAAACTATAAAACTTAATTGAAATGTATTCCACTATTGCCACATACACACATAAATAAATAAATAAAATCCTAAAATGTTTAATCTAGAAGTACTATAAGAAGTTATTTATTAGGGGAAAAAGACCACTACATATATAGAAACAAATGCACAAATTCACAAAAAAAGATACAAATTAAAGCAACAAGAATTCATTTTTATTATTCTCTTAGAAATCAGGTGAGTTGAGAAGTTCTCAAGAATTCAGTGCCTTAAGCTGAGCACAGATTTTAGATTTGAGCTAGCCTTAGTAATTTAGCAAAACCCTATGCAATTTAATGAGATGCTGTCTCAAAATTTAAAAAATGAAAAAGACTAAAAGACTAAGATTGTTGCTCAGTGGTTAAGCACCCTTGGGTTCAAAAAATTTTTTGGTGTCTTCCCTCTTATATTAAGTGGAGAAATATATTAATAACTACTTACTAGGATTTTTATAAATAAATGTGATAATTCCTGTGAATCATCAAAAACAAACAAACAAACAAAAAACCTTAATTCAAAGACACTTCAAATGACCTAAATGAGAAGCTACTATACCATGTTTACAGATCAGAAAATCAATATTGTAAAGATGATAATTAACTTCAAATTGACATACTGGATGCAACCCAAACTTCAGTTGATTTCATGTTTGGAAAAAAACAAAAACAAAAAAACCTAGAAAAGATTAGAGGACCTGTTTTATTACATGTGAAGATTTATCATAAAGCTACAATATAAGAAAATGTGAAATCAGAGCAGAGACAGATCACAGAAAAAAACCTTGCATTTTTTTTTTTTAATTTTTTAGTTGTAGTTGGACACAATACTTTTATTTATTTATTTATTTTTATGTGGTGCTGAGGATTGAACCCAAGGCCTCTCCCATCTAGGTGAGCACTCTACCACTGAGCCACAACCCCAGTCCCCCAAAATCCTTGCATTTTTGAAAACATGACTTACATGTGACAAAAATGGCACTGTAGAACAATGGGGAAAGGGTAAACTTTTAATAAATGATGCTGGGCAGCTGCTTGATCTTATGGAAAAGTACAGAACTGATCACCTTATATCTCATACCATGTGCAAAAATCAACTTCAGGTAGATTACAAATATAAAAGGCAAAACTATAAACTTTTTGTAAGAAAATATAGAAGAATGCCTATAGAGGTCAGTAATTTCTTTTAATATATAGGATACAAAGCCCAACTATCCATAAAGGATAAGATTTCATAAATTTACACTGAAATTAATTTCTATTGCTTTATTAAGGAATAACAAAAATAGAATCAGAAAACATGATTTTAATATTTGTAACAGCCCTGACAAAGGATTGATATCCAAATATATTAAGAACTCACACAAAATAACAACAAAATAAAATGGGAAAGATTAGGTAACTGGGAAAGAATAGATAACTCAATGGAAAAATAGAGCAAAGCCAGGTGCAGTGGTACACACCTGTAATCCCAGCTACCGGAGAGGCAGTGGGAACAGGATTACAAATTGGAGGCTGGCCTGGGCAAACAAGATCACCTTAAAAAGGAATGGGAATATAGGTCAGTGGTAGAGTACATGCCTAACAAGCACGAGGCCCAGGGTTTGATCCCCAATATTGGGGAATACAAAAAAAAAAACCAACAACAAAATCATAAAAATGAGACACCCTTACACATCTATCATATGCACAAAAATAAAAGTGTCATATACCTGGTAAATGAGAAGGTATGTATACTCTAAGGTGCAGCAATTCTATTCTGGTATACATTCCAGAGAAATGGATGTATGTGTGTACCAGAAAATATGTAAAAGGATGTTTAAAAAGAGAATTGTTGTAATAGTCAAAAACTAGAATTCACTCAAATATCCCTTAAGAATAGTAACTCACACATGGTATAATCATATGAGACATTATATAATAATGAAATAAATAAATTAGAGGTACAGGATGAAAAAATCTTATAAAGAAAATATTGAGCAAGATAAAAAATAATATATTCAGTATAATTTCACTCATGTTCACTATACAAATTGTTTGCCATTCTATATATTTAAAAGTTATAAAATTTTCTACATTTGGGTTATAGTTCACAATTTTATTTCTTTTTCTTTTTTTAAAAAATTTTTTATTTATTTGTATGTGGTGCTGAGATCAACCCAGGGCCTCACACATGCTAGGCAAGTACTCTACCACTGAGCCACAACTCCAGCCCCACAATTTTATTTCTACCTTTTTTTTTTTTTTAATCTTGTTTTTCTGAGACAGGGTCTCATTAAGTTGCCCAAGCTGGCCTCGAACTCTTGATCCTCCCGCCTTAGCCTCCCAAGTAGTTGGGATTGCAGGTATATGTCATGATTTTCTGGCATCACGATTTTTTAAAAAAATAATTTAATCCTCTTTCTTTTTAAAATAATTTTTAGTTGAAGGTGGACACAATACCTTTATTTTTATGTGGTGCTGAGGATCAAACTGAGTGCCTCATATGTGCTAGGCAGGTGCTCTGAACTCATAAAAATGAGATATTCTTACACATCTATCATATGCACAAAAATAAAAGTGTCATATACCTGGAAAATGAGAAGGTATGTATACTTCTGTGGTGCAGCAATTCTACTCTGGTATACATATGAGGTACCCAGTCCTGGCCTCACAATTTTAAAAGAGTAGAAAAAAGTATATACTGATGTCTCTAGTACATATGTGCCAGACAAGGCTTTTCCATGAAGGAAGCTCATAGAAGACTTCAGTGACATCTTGAGATAGGACAGTGAGTTTTTAGAAGCTACCTTCTCCTGTTCTGTATTCCAGATAATAAACTTACCCAGTGGTGACAGCATATTTGATGTGGTTGCTTGTGGTATAGATAAACACCCCACTTTCATCCCAGGCCCCACTCTTGACACGAATATTCTCATGAATGTTACATAGAGCATCCAGTTTGCGGTTACAGATCACAATGGCTGTAAGAGGCAAAGGGCATGAGTGCTCTGTTGGACAGAATGAGTGCAGCAGACTGGCAGGGATGGGGGAGGGAGGGAGTGGGCTCTAAATCAGGGTGGATATATGAAAACTTACCATGTTTGGCCAGTAGTGCTACATGAGACATGTCTGCTGACCAGATAACATATTTCACCTTAGAAATTTTCACAGATGCCAGAGTCCTGAAATGAGAGAGAAGGTCAAACATGAATAGATCTGACTCCTGGGTCTAGGGTTAAAACCTATGTCCTTTTTGTTAATTTTTTTTTTTAGTTATAGATGGATAAAATATCTTTGTTTATTTACTTTTATGTGGTGCTAGGGATCAATCAAACCCAGTGTCTCACACGTGAGAGGCAAACTCTCCAACACTGAGTTACAACCCCAGCCTAAGATCTAGGTCTTTTTATCCTCACACATAAACCCCAATTTCTCAATGTAATGCCAAATAAACATTTTCTGCATAGTAGCTCTGTAACTTAAAAATTTGGCTTGCATTATACTTCCCCTCTTTTCAAGCCCTTGCCTCTCATTTTCTCATATTATTAGGGATATTTACATATTTCATCACTGGATTATAAACCCCTTTAAGCACAAGAACTGTGCCATTAACCTTGGTATCCCTCTTTTTTCCTTGGGAGAGAAAGGCTCCCACTAAAGTTGTCCACTCTCCCCCACTATATGCTTGTTTTTTTACAGGCACCTATCATGTTACCGTTTCTGCTGTACATCAAAGAGTGTGATGGAATCTGCATCTCGAAGTAGAAGATTGCCTGTGCCAGCATAGAAGATCTCATCACAGTTGGGCACCTGTACCTTTTTGGTGATCTCATTTTTCAAATTCTTGATCAGAAGCTGAAAGGAATGTTAAAGAATTAAGAGAAAAAGTGATTACATAAAATGATGACAGCTAATGACATCCCTCAGCAATTATTCCTTAGCTTCAATAAACTAAGTATATTTCTCTCTGTCCAAGTTAATCACACATCAGGTAGACAGATCATTCCAAAATCCTTTCTAAGGGTCTTAATATCATTAAAAAAAAGAAAGAAAAAAAATTCTGAAGTCCAATGAAACTTGAGATCCTCAGTCAACCAGAGAGAGAAAACAGTACTTAGAGGGATAAATTTTTTTTTTTATTATTTATTTTTTAGTTTTCAGTGGACACAACATCTTTGTTTGTATGTGGTGCTGAGAATCGAACCTGGGCCGCACGCATGCAAGGCGAGCGCGCTACCGCTTGAGCCACATCCCCAGCCCCAGAGGGGGTTAAATTTTTGTTAAATATTTTCTCGAGAATTTTGTTTATCTTGTGCTGAACCTATTACATTTCAAGTTCCAATGGCGATAGGTCAAGTAGAGAGATCTACTCATCGTCCAACCCACTTATTTCAAATTTGATTCTGATTTCGGCTTTGCTCAAATGGTCAAGAATGACTTTATCTTGCTTCTTAAGCCCAAAGCTACAGTAATATCAACTCAAATCAAAAAACTTTAAATCTGTCCCCCAGGGGGTTAGCTCAGGGCTAGGAATAAAGGCAGAGCCAATAGTTGAGAACCACAGCTGTCAGGGGGGAATAAGGAAAAAACAGTACTTTTTATTTTGCAATACACAGGCCATTGCCACTACACTCCCCAAACTGGTTTCAGCTTTTAGTCTTAACTTACCGAATGCATTCGATCTAGGACAGCAAACCTATTTCGAGCAACCCAAACGGCTGTCAGGCCTGACGATCGCTTCCCTTCAGGGGCTGAAGAGAACAAAATCAAAGGGTAGGAGCATGTGGTGAGCTACTAGCAGGTGACAGAGTCAGATGCCATAGAGCTGCCAGTCTTGCTGGCTGCCATCTTGGCTTTGCCAGTTCAGCTGCTTCCTAACTAATTCAGCCATAACCTGAGGCTATTGTCAAGTGACTTTTCCCTACCAGTCCCCTCCAAACTCCAACCCCCACCCCTGCCAAGCCTCTTTCCTCTTGGCCAAGTGGCTGCACTTCAGCCAACACCATATACTGGCAGAAGGGCTGCCCATCTTGAGAGACAGCACACTCCATCAAGCTAACGAGCAGGGCCTCCCTGGCCAAGCTGTGGCACAGCAAGCAGCCTGTCAATGTCCTAGGACCTCCTATCAGAACAAACTGGAGTAGAGGCAGCCCCCTCCCCAGGTTGCAGCTGCTCCGCTGCTTTTAACATGCAAATGTAGACCTCCTAGTAAGGCACAGTGGGGCAGAGCACTCCCAACCAAATCTTGACAAGCGAGTTCTATGCTGGGCAGTATTTAGCACTAAGCTGTTGCTCTGTTAAGTGTTAAAGACTTATTACCCCAAAAGAGAGTTCCTCATTTCTGGTGGTTGATTAGAATTTTCCAATGGACACCCCTCTCTACCCTCTGAGAAACTTGTGAAAGATGCATTGAAATATTCTTTCATATATTATAACAGTAGAAAACTGGACAAAACATGCTGGTCAGCCTTGCCTTATATTTCTCTGGCATCTGGAGTGGCAGACAATTTGAAAAACTAATTATCATAACCAACATTCCCTGTTTTAGGGGTCAGGGAACAACACTACTCCAGCTTTTGATTTTTCTTCCTCTGTTTCCCAACAAAGAGTCAAACCTTATAAATTATTATCTCCCTCAAAGGATGGAGAACAGAAAAGTGATAATGATAATAATAATAATAATGATAATAATAATAATAATAATAATAATAAAAGATATACTAATATATACAAAAATAATAACTGAACAAAATATTTTAAACTAATAATTGTAAACAGATCTGGGGGGACAAAAGCAAGGGAGTAGGTTGGGAAGAACCAAATCACAAAATTTAGTTCTTAGTTCAGAATTGGCTTAAATGACTAATTTGTAAGGGGGACTTTGACTTACGGATACCAAATATATAGAGATTTTTCTCTGTCAGTATGAGCACATTTAAAAGGTGAACAGGATTAACAATAATGACCTGAGGCACCCACAAAAGGGACAGAGCTAGCAAAACATTTCTTGAGAATGTGTTGATGGGGTCTAAAATATGATCAAAGTCTGCTAGTGAGAGCGGGGACCTGTAGAATAAATCTCTGATATGCTAAAGTCTATAAACCCCCTGGAGGAAGAGCACTGATAGGAACAGAAGCCAGAGTGAAATCCATTCTGAGAATGTTTTGTCAGCAAGTTCTAATAGTAAGAACATCAACAAGGGATAGTGGTGATGAAAGAGGTAGGCAGGGGTCTCAGCTGGATCCTGGGATCCCAGGTGGGGCCCTGGGCTGTTAGCAGCCTCATCTTTTTGACATGCAAAAGGAAGCAAATCGGATCTGGATGTGGATAGAAGAGTATAAATCCCTAGTCCCAGGATGAGACATTGCAAGATTGGAACCACATTTTTAAATAAATGAAACTACCAGGGTGAAAGTCATATCAGCTGACAATAAACTAGGATAACATGCTGTGCTGAAAGAGAAAATGGAGAGTTTCTAATAACCAAATTATAAAATATATATATCTAGCTGGGGTAATAAAATGGAGGGGAAACATGAATATTTCACACCATGGTCGCCTCTGATGTAACTGTCAGCAGCACCTGCCAACAGACATGAGTGATGTGACCACAGCCTGGGGATGGGATGTGAAAACCTTGAAAAAGAATAATGATGTGGGTAAGGAGAGCTGGAAGCAGGTTTAGGTAGACAAAGAGCATGCCTACCATCAGGATTCTGCGAATCAGCATCTTTGGGGATGGTGTATAGATCATAGGTACTATTCTCTAAATTGCTGGCTCTCTGTAGGAGAAAAGGGAAATTAAAATGTTAGTGAGGAGCACCCAAGATACCAGTTTATTCTAACAGAGAAAACAGTTCCATTACACAGACAACAATATGAAACTATACTTTCTTCCCCCTTCACCCAGACAGTATTCAAATGTTGCCATATCTAAGAATTATAAAGCTCTTAGCTAACCAACTCAGCAATGATATTTTCTTTATCCTTTAAAGAGGCAGATTTTATCTGAATGAAAACCAAGATTGCCCTTTTCCACAAATCAAAAGCCTAAGATCCCTGACATTCTGGAGTCCCACCTGAATTATGCTTATTAACATAAAAAAGTTTGCTTGTGGCTCAAGCGGTAGCTCGCTCGCCTGGCATGCGTGCGGCCCGGGTTCGATCCTCAGCACCACATACAAAGATGTTGTGTCCGCCGAAAACTAAAAAATAAATATTAAAAAATTCTCTCTCTCTCTCTTTTTCTTTAAAAAAAAAAAAAAAAAGTTTGCTTGAGAGAAAAAAAAAGACATTAAAAAAAAATGCCAGGAGAATATGGGAATTGCCATAAGAATATGGGACTGCTAGATATTAAGAGAATGACCAAGATTGGACACTAGAGGTTATATGGGAAAAGATGTTTTAATTCTTTTAAATTTGGCCACTGGGCACTGAAATTAGAATGGTCTTTTTTTCCTCCCTTTTTTCTTTTTGCAAATTGTATGACAAGAAAGGCTTTGATGGGGCTGGGGCTGTGGCTCAGTGGTAGAGCACTTGCCTCGCACATGTAAGGCACTAGGTTCGATCCTTGGCACCACATAAAAAATAAACAAAATGAAGTTATTGTGTTCATCTACAACTAAAAATATTATTTAAAAAAATAATATTTTATTTTTTAGTTGTAGATGGACACAGTATCTTTATTTTATTTTTATGTGGTGATGAGGATCGAACCCAGGGCTCGCACATGCTAGGCCAGCGATCTACCGCTGAGCCACAACCCCAGCCCTAAAAATATTCTTAAAAAAAAAAAAAGGCTTTGATTACTCTGAAGTCAACTTCATTGAAAAGAACCCCCTTCCAAAATCTATTTTCCCCCAAAGGGAGAGATCAATATAAGCATCTCTTTTGCATGGGATACAGCTGTAAACTATCTCTCCAATCACTTTCAGTAATCTGGGTCATTCATCTTGAGGCTTCATTAAGTTTAGATATTATATTAGCCTTATGAAAGATTCATGTTCACAAACCTTCAATTTCCTTATGACAACTGAAGCCTTTCTAGTTTATGCTTAGTTTGTGTTCACTTGTTAGCTCCTGCAAAATGACCATTAAATAGCTTTTAAGAAGACATTACAGTTTCACTCTGGGGATCAGAAAAATACCTAAGGAGAATTTAGGAGGAATCCATAGGTTACTTACTGTACACAACAGGACTGCATTTTCTGCTGGATTGTATGACATATTAAAAACTGGAAACTTGGACCCACTAGAGATATATATAGAAAAAGGAGAAAACAGAATAGGTATAAGAATAGAAGAAAGGAATTATCCTTTTGTTTTTAATTTATTCATTTATTTGGTTCTGGGAATTGAACCCAGGGATGCTTTACCATTGAGCTACATCCCCAGTCCTTTTTATTCTGGGACAGGGTCTTGCTAAGTTACTGAGGGTCTCGCTAAGTTGCAGAGGCTGACCCCAAACTTGCCATCCTTCTACCTCAGTCTCCAAGGTCATTAGGATTATAGGCATGTGCCACCACACCCAGCACTTCTTATCTTTTTAAAAAATTTTTTTTTTGTTTTAATTAGTTACACATGACAGTACAATGACATTGATATATCATACATCTGAATCAGAAGGGATATAATTTCTCATATTTCTGAGTGTACAGGTTGCAGAATCATATTGGTCATGCAGTCACATGTATACACATAGCAATAATGTCTGTTTCATTCTACTATCTTTATATACAAACTCATCACTTTTATAAATATAAATAAAAATTGAATTTTTTTCTCCTCCTTTTTGTAGGGCTTGGGAGCTCATTGCAAGCTCTAGTACAAGTCAAATTATTCAATAAAAGGTAGGGTCAGCACTCACTATGGTTCTGCTCGGGTACAAATTCCTACACATAATTGCAATGGACACCACAGAGTAACTTGATGTGATGTCTCTGGCTGTTTCTCCTGTCCCTTGGATTGT